ATGTATGCTTTTGATTTCTTAAAACTCAGAAACCTTCAAACCTTAACACACTAGTGACAACTATATCATTACGTAAGTATCTTGTTGCTCATTCATTCATTCATCCTACAACCATTTATGGAATGCATGTTTCATGTCACGGAGGTTTTTAGAAGTGGGAATACGGCCTGGGGTGGTGGACACCTCTGACATTCAGAGCCCACATTTAGGATTGGAAGGGACAGGCAGGCAGCAAGCAATTAATATATAAAGGTATAAAAAAAAGTGCTCGTAAGAAATGAAGCTTCGGGGCAAAGGGGTTAGACAGAGCTGCAGGCCGGGAGGTCTGAGGCAGGAGGGCTGACAAAGGTGCCGCTGCTTAGGCCGCCCGGGGTAAGAGCGGGTCGTGAGCATCCACAGCAGGACCCCAGCCCGAGGAAGAGCGGGCCCCCACAGACACCTCCCCTCCTAGGCGAGGGTCGCGACTGGACCTACCTGGCCGTTCCTACCGATTTCCAAGCCACCCTCCTGGGATAGACTCCTGGGAACGTCCAAGAGTTTACGATTGCTGGGCCTTGGAGCACACAAGATCTGCTGAGGACACACAGCCAGGCCCTGAGCAGAGAGAGCCCCTGGGCCTGGCCTGGGGTTCTGCATTTTTCAGGGGAGAGGGAGGGTGCGTAGGGCTTTGCGGGCTCCCTCTTTATGGGCAGATTCAGAACCTGAGAGTGGGAGCTTAAAGCAGGGGAAGAGAAAAAACACAAGCTGCCCAAGCAGTCGGTTATGGAATCAACAGAGATCCCTAAAACAAGTGACAACAGTAATGAAGACGGTGATGTTAGAATCACGTGAAAAAAGTGAACGAGTAAAGAACAACCTGTTTTTTCTATAGTTTCAGTTTCACTGAACTGCTTCATCCACCCAACTAGGTAAAAGCTGGACAAAAATTACGTATTTCGTTGGAAAGAGAAGGGACTATTAGCACAGACACAGAGGATGGCTCTAGACTTTCCCTTTATGGCCTCACAGAATCTTGGTCTCAGAACAAAACTTAATATCCAAGGGCTGTCCTTTATACGTCCAGATGCTGCCAGTGGGGGACCTGGGCCGCCCAGGACAGCCCGTCCTCCTGGAGACTCCCTTCCCCGAGCTTTCGCTCACCTTGAACTTATCCACAACTCCGATGGTCACAGTGGTAGACGGGTTGAGTAAACTGGACCCCTGTATACGTCTGAAGCAAGCAGACGTGTTCTGTATTGTCCTGGTCTCTTACCCTCTGCGTCCCGAGGATCTCAAAGATCTAACATTTTATGTTGAAGAACATTCTAGGAGAAGGGAAACTGAGGAGAACAGATAAGTAGAAGGCTTGCAACTAAGCATTTTAAGAGAAAACTGAGTATCAGTGGCAGTAGCCTAGGACCTGCACGAGGACTGAGACTAGCACAGCCTTTCGCTGCTGTGCCTGCAGCGGCACATGGAGGACGTCCCATACACACACTGATAAAGTAAGTGCAAGGAAACAAATGCCACTTTTTCATTCTTTGTTCCAAACGCCTTTCAGTTTACAGGAGGCAGGCCTAGAGAGTAATCGAGGCTTCTCACTGCTGTCTGAGGCGCACAGGAAAGTCAGAAGGCTTTCCTGTCTTAACTCAGTATCCGCTAATGCTCCAAGTCTGTCTGAATAGCTTTTATAACCAACTAAACTATTCACACACACCAATAACCCCACTGGATACTTGTATCTGCTTAAGCTTATTCATCTTCATTAAAAGCCCAAAATTCAAAGGATTTTCAGAAATGTTTGTGAACCTAAATATTGGTAATTAAGTGTAATTTAATAACTTCATGTCCATCCAAAATGTAAGAACTTTCAATGATAGAGAGGCCGAGCAAATTACATTAGGATTTTACCTTCTTAATGCCCTTGCTTTTATATAAATTCAAAGGAAATGAGAAGAAAAATACATTAAATTGAATAAACAAATGCTACTGTGAACTTTGGAGCTGTTACTACGTGCCAATCACTTTCTAAACATGGCTTATGTGCACTCACTTCATCTTCACAGCCCAATGAAACAGGTGGCATCTCCCCAGATGACAAACACAGGAGCAGAGAGGCTGAGTCACCAACTTTACGCAGGTGAGTGCAGAAGCAAGGCCTGGGATCCAGGCATGGTGACCCAGGGGCCTCCCACACCCAACGTGACACAGCTGCTTGGCGGGGATGGGGGTCTGTCACACTCTCATGGAAGTCACACAGCTGAACACGCTCTGTCACCCTTATCACAAGCGGCCCGTCCCAACCAGCCACTCTGTACATGCTCACAAGTCGCGGACGGACGTTTTGGCTGTTATCTCATGCCAGAGCAGTTCTTGTTACGAGATATGCCCACAGTATAACAGGTGAAACATAAACTTAAAAATTACCATGTGTGCAAAGTTTTGTTTTTTCATAACAGACTCTTCCCATTTGAAGCTCTTTTAAAAAAAATCTTGAGGCTTTAGCATCACGTTCCACAATGGGACAGTGAAAGGCACGGGTGGCTGATTTGTGTCCAAGGTCACAACTTTTCTGTTGATCCAGGACTCAGATCTAATTATTGTAACTTTAAATGCTGTAATTAATATTTTCAAATAATTAGGTTTTAAAAATACAAGAGGTACCAGACCTTTGAATCTCAGGTTCTTCATATATAAGGGGACTGTATTAGAATATTATGTTTCTCAAGTCTGTTTAAACTGTAAAATTGTCTCTATAATTACAAACAATCTGAAACTTAATAAAGGGGGGAAAAACGCTTTGTGGAAGTTCAGTCTTAGCTGTCCTCTTTGCAGAGAGAATTACTCATGTCACAAACGAACAAAAGATAAATAATAAAAATAAATGATTACATGTTTTCAATTAATTTATTTTAGAAAAACAAAGGTTTACAATTGGCACCCTAAGGCCCGGTATCAAGATTCAGCTAGTAATACAGCTTTCAAAAAACCTTTACAGATTAGTCCAAAGTAAAAAATTGTTTGCCCACCCTTGAACCTAGACACAGTCAGGAAAAAAAAAATAGATATTTATAAAAATAAAATGGCAAACCTAACCCCACCAATTAACTGATAGCCTTAACATTCCACATTGGTTTACTTGAACAATTTCTGCATAAGAACAGTTGAGTGATTCTTCCCTGCCCTACCTGCGCTTCACATGGAAGCAACGCTGAACATATTTAAATCACATGTGCACAATTGAAACAAACAACCCCCCAAAGCCCTGAAATAAAACACACCACCAAAAACCAACTGAAAACGACAGAGCTAATTGTTTAACCTCTCATACAGACTCCTCCTTCAACCTCTAGGCATTTGGCTCTTAATGTTGCTACTAACTCAGGCTTCAGGAAGCAGGACTCGTGAAGAAAATGAAAACCCCAGAACTAATCCACCTCACGGGTGTTTTGGAAGGCAGCAGTGTTGGATAAATAGTGAGGTACACAGTAAAACAAACACAAAGGGGTGAAAACTCCAATGGGGCGCACAGGTTGATTAAAAATACACACTTTCTCCCTCTGAAGTGTTTCTGAATGTCATCTGCACACTAGACTCAGCAAAAGCAAGCGTGGAGGATTCTGAATTTTAGGGGTTGGCAATAGAGCTTCATCGCAACTGCAAGAGAAGGCAGAGAGGTCCAACGGCCTGCAGGGTACTCCCTCTCGCAATATGCAGTCAGAGTGAGATTCGTTACTGACTTGGGATGAAACCTGTTCTGCAAGGGTCCTTCAGAAATCTACCTTTATTTTGAAGTATTTGAAAAAGCACTCCTACTAAGCTCTGGCATCACACTGAAGGGAAAAACACTACCAGTGAGCAAAAACTTAAGTTTGTGAAGAGTCTGACAATATCCTAAAGACATGTAAAAAGGAAAATATTAATACAAAAAGGAAGAAATCCAATTATTCACTTATGAACCATCCACACATTCTGTTTTTCCAATAGATGCCCTATGGAGACACAAGACTATGGGGCAACAGTGCAGTTGTAGAAAAGGGAACAGAGAGACTAAGGCGTGTCCACCGTACACAGACAAGAACATTTCAGAAGACAAAGGTCGCTGGGCTTTGTTGGTTGATACACACTGAGCTTTAGTCTTCTAAAATTTTTTCCTATTGAGCTCTCTCCTTTGATGCTTGAGAAAAGACAAAACGTGCAGATGATGGACATCTGACAGCGACAGATGTGAAGCAAAAGCAATGGCCTGTTCTATCGTTTCCCGCGGTCGCAGGCGGAGTCTGGGCTTTAAGGTCCATGCAAGGCTGAGGCCCGAGTGAGGCACCTGCGCTTCCTGCGCTTCCCACTGCTGCCCCCAGGCCGCCCCGGGGAGCATTCGCAGGGGTCTCCCAAAGCATCCCTTGGTGCTCAGTGGGGCAGGGTCTCCTGGTCCAATGAACAGCATTTATCTCCAATTTCCATTCAGGAGCATTTCATTCTAGTATTTCCTGAAATTCCCTGTGACTACATATGTGACTCATTGTTAAAGATAATAAGGGGGTGCCAAACTCTAAGAATAAGTCATTATGCCATACTAATTAAGTGCATGGATCCAGTGAGATAATTACCAGCAGACCCTCAGGACTTAAGATGCCATTTCTGCTCAGTGTGCCCAGCACGCGTCAGGACTGATCAGCGGCTGCCCATGGGGAGCAAAGCCCGAAACGACTTCAGTGGCAGGACCACGCATTACTTTTAATGGAAATGAACACTTTTCAGTGTTTACTAAAGTTTTTCATATTGGATAACTCAATTACTCAATGACCAGTCACCCAAATAAAAGCCACCCAATAAAAATCCTAAACTTGCCTAAATTCCTTGCCTTATTCCGAGATAAACTCATCTCCAACAGACATATAGAACTGTTACTTAAAAGGTACCAATTCTGATGCGTGAATGGAGACCGACCGCCTACGTTACTTCCCTACAGAAGGGAGATGACCTGACCAGCGGAGGGGTCCGCGGGGCTGGGGCGCAGGGGGGGTGAGGGGGAGCCTGTCAGTCACGCCCATCGGTCCCTGACCTCAACTCTGCTGGCCGGCGGCCTGTGCCGCTCCTCATTCGCCATGAGCACAGCGTGCCCACACTGCCACTGGGGCGTGGGCCAGTACATTCTCCACGTGTCTGTGTGCGTGAATGCGCACACACGTGCGTGTAAGTTACCACAGTCACTCTCCCAGAAACATAAAATAGGACATACGCTACTTTTTACAAAGCAGCAGGGGCTATTAATCAAAGGACATTTTTAGAAGAGACCGCAATATAGAAAAAAATAAAGTAGGCTGTCCCGGCCAAAGCTGGGCAGGGGTGACAAAGCCCCTCCCCCTCCTGAAGTGACTGTGGGCAGCTGGCTCTCAGGCTCCCAGGGCCTGGTCTGAAAGCCCCACTTCACGTGAACACGGCTGTGTTGCAAAGATGAAACATAAAGACTGTTTTTTGCCACTATATAGGCCAATATGAAAATTTTATAATGCAACCAAGTATAAAGTTAAAAAGTAACATTTCCTCTCCTTTAAAAAATAACAAAATAAAATGTCTATGCTATATAAAACCAAATTTTTAAAATTTCTTAATCTTAATTTGATCTGTGGAAAAAGTTATTAGTTTTCCTTAAAGTGCCTACATTGTAAAGACAATTTTGTCCATATAAATTTTACCCAAAATATAAGAGGAGAATGAGTGATGGTAGGAAGTGGAACTATTGTTTTTCTCTATTAAACATGTTTCTTCTATCTGACTGGCTGGCTTAAATATTCTGCCCAGGAATCTTCATTCTGTCACTGAATATTCAGATAGAGAAACATGCACGTAGTACTGATCTGTGATAACATCTAGAAGGTCAACTTCCATGGAATATTTTTCGTTTTAGACAAACATTTCCTCTCTTTGCTCCACACATCTCCCCATTTACGAAGAGCTACTTTAATCCATGCAGCTGATATTAGCAAAATACAAATAAGTTGTCCTCTGTAAAGATCATGATTAAATGTCTAAATTCAATAAATAGACTCTTTTAGTCCCTTGAAATCCGAGGGAAGTCTCAATCTGTCTTCTTCTCTAACACGTCTTTGGGCCCCGGCCCCGCGGGCCCTGGCGAGTGCGCGCTCCTCGGCTCGCTGCTCTCCTCCGTGGCTCCCTGGCTTTCGATCACGCTTTTGGACACTTCGTACCGCTCTTCTATGTAGCCTCCGTCCGTGTCAGCTGTGTAGATGCCATAGCACATGATGCTGATGACACCCAGAGGCAGGCCAAAGAGAAAGCAGCCCATGATCGGAGAGCTCTTGAATATCGACTGTGGAGAGAGGAGGACAACTCAGTTCCCTCGGAGGCCCTCACGCGTGCGCAGCAGGAGGGGATGACAGGCCACCGCAGGTCGGGCCCCCCCGCCCGCCGCCCCCGCCGTCCGGCCTGCGCGGTGCCCTGCTTCTGCAGAAACTACCCTGTTAAAGATCCCGTAAGAGGCAGGAGAGAGAGAGAGAGAGAGAGAGAGAGCGCCCCCCCCCCCCCGCCAGTAGGGCAAGGCCCCCGTGCTCCGCAGCCCTTTCTAACGACATTCCGTCCCCTCCCCGAGCCACAGAGCCCTGCGGGGTGACGCCCGGGTGCAGGCGCCTGCTCACGGAGAAGGCCGGCTGTTTACCGCAAAGGAGGGACACATACTCTCTTCGCACGCATTTTGAATACTTTTCTTACCTGGTTAGCAGTGAAGCCACATTAACTTAGTAATTCCCCTCAATTTACATACTGCCGCCTTAGCTCCCAGAAAAGGCAAGGCCATGTCCCGGTTAAGGCCTTCACCTACAACGCGCTCTACGGCGGCGACTCTAACTCTGCGGAACCACGGCGACACACGCAGCGGAGCGCAGGTCGCTGCGGACCGAGAAGACAGAGGAAAGCTTCCTAAAATTCGGCCGTTCGAGGCGGACGCTTACGCAAGAGCCAGGAGGCGGCAGGGGGCAGCAGGCCGCCCCTGTGCGGCGCCAGCACCGCAAGGAGCCCGGGCGGCGCCGGCAGCACCGGAAGACCAAGGGGGACCACGTCGGAGCCGCCCCGGGGGCCCTCCTGTGCACCCCCGGGGAACGGGGTCCGTTGGGGAGGGCAGCGCGTGGTGCGCGGGGACGGGAAGCGGGGAGGGGCACAGGCGGACGGCGGGCAGCCGCAGGCAAGGCACTGCGTGCCGCCCGCGGGGAGGCGGCAGGGCCCGCTGAGCGGAGGGGTGCGGGCGGGGCGCCGTGCGAACTCACTTCTCGCCAGCAGGGGGCGCGCTGTGGTGCTGGCGGCTGCTCTGGGGCAGAACGAACGGCAACGCCCGTGGGCGGCGCCAGGCAGGCCTCGAGGACCAAGTTCGAGGCGCAGGCGCCGGCGCGCGCGCGCGGGGCAGTGCGGAGGCCCCGGGCGGCCTGGGCGAGGGGGTGCGGGTCCACGGGCTGAACGGGACGGGCGAGGAAGGAGGCCGGAAGCCACCTGAAGGCAGGCGGTGCCGTTAGGTGACCCTGAATTCCAGTCACTCACCCATCATAAGGAAACGAGGGATCAGAGAAACAAGTTTCCACCTGATGAACATCTTTTCTTCTCATAAGTACAGGCTTGTTCTTGCCTTGCAAATTAAAGATACTTTACCCCAATCCTTTCAAATCTCAGATTTTACCCGAGTTAGACCTACAGAACCTACATACCTATATATTGTCAATTACCGACAAAAATAGACAAAACTGTCACAACTTACCACGACAGTAGATTTGGCATCAAACACCATTCTTTTCAATCTCTGAAAAATGCTATCACCTCCTTGTGCCTTAAATTTAAGAGGAAAAAGACAACCACATTGTTAATTTAAGTATTATTTCATTTTTCTGTCACATAATCTTAAAATCGCTGACCGAGGACGGTGGGCAGACGGCACGGAGCGCCTGCGGACCCGGCCGGGTCTTCCCGGCCCCCCCCTGCGTCCCGCCCCGAGGGACACACTCTCCCCTGACGGGCGCGGCCTGCCCCGTCCTGGCCCCGCTCGGCGGCGCGGCCGCGCGGCCTCTCCGCGGCCCAGCGGTTTGGGTCGGGCTTCCCGGACCTACACAGAGCAGGGCTCTCAGGCGCACACGAGCGCCACTTCCACAAACACAAAGTTCCTGCTGTGCGATGTCCCAAGCGGAAGCCCCTGCTGCTGGGGAGCCCGCTCTCACCGGAAGCCTGCGCAGAGCGGCGGACGCGCCCCAGAGGAACGGGGCTCCCCCGGCCCCTACCGTGGGCCGCTGCAGTCTGAGGACGCCGCGGCGCGGTCCGCAGACAAGAAGGGGGAGCTACGCCAGCGCCCATGATTCCTGAAAAATGTTTTACAGGGCTCGGAAGTCTCCCCGTGGCTCTGAATCTCCGTAGTCCCTCATCTCTTAAGGAAGCGGGTCTCCCTCACGGCTCCTTAGGGAGCCGGCCTGAACCCCTTCACCCACCGCACCCTGGGCCCCAGGCCGGTCTGAGAGCCAGGGACGGCCGCAGCGGGACAGCTCCGCGCCCTGCGGGCCTGGGCACCCCGGCGCCCCGCTCTGATGCGACCGGCACACACGCCCCGCAATACCCGTCAGCAGCCTCTGCCGCAGAAGGACCGCGGAGGTGCGGGGAACGCGGCGCCGCCGGCCACAGGCAGGAACTGCCCGCCCCGCAGCAGCCCCTGCAACGCACGCCAGCAACTCACTTCCACCGAGCCGTCCAAAACGCTGCGGATGAACTGGACCAGGTCTTCGGTGTTCGTGACGGGCCTGTCCAGTAAGAAGTACTGTTGGTTTGACGTGTTCAGTACAACTACAGTCGGGACTTTGACTTCACTGAAAACAGAAAAACAGAAATCAAAGTACACACTAAACACACATGTAACACGCATTCTGATACATATTTAGTTATACATAAGGAACTATAATTGCAAAAAGAAGGAGCTCTGTTGATAGCTTTGCCTCCTTTTGCCTGGAGAAAATTTCAAGTTTTGCATCAATTAAAAAAAAAATAGCTGAATTAAGATTACGTAAAAAGCATTCTAACATACACTATAAAACAGCTGAGTTTTCACATGAAACTAAAGGATAAAAATCATTATGTACAAGGCATCAGTTTCTGGGTAGTATTTCTTCTCACCACAGGCGTGTTTTAACTCCCACGGTTGGGAGGCACCCCCCCAAGGAACGGGGCTCAGGGCACTGGTGGGGGGGTGGGGCCCAGCCTCTGGACCCATGCTGCTGGTGTTCAAATCGGGGGCTTTCCTGTAATATGGTGTTTTAAGATTAATGTTTTCATGTATAGATGAATAAAAGGTGTAGAGAGTACCTATCTTGCTATAGAATGAAAAAGTTCAGGGTTATGTGTACAGTACCTTGCACGTAACACACGTATGTTCAATAAGCACCACTCTAAACTCCCCAAACTCCCAGGACCCCAGGACAGGGCGGGGCATAAGCAGGTTTACAGTTGATCACATGGAAAATGATACAAAAATTAGTAAATAAGAATACAAGACTAAACTCGTGTACTCACAACTGTAAACCTCCTTTTGCCCACCCCTGTGCGTTGCCCCCATCCTTCAGTGATCACGATAACTACAGTATTCCCAATGTGTGGTTTCATTGGAATAATTTACTTTTCCTTTCAAAGACAGGTTTTGCACAAACATAAAAGGTGTGTAATTCTGCATGTTGCCTCCACATCGGTTCGCGGTTATTTGTATGTCTATATAAAAGTGTTATGCAAACGGAGGACACTCCACAATGGAAACAATTTACACTGCTGATGATTGCTCCTAAGTAACTGAGTCCCCACACCACGCCCTTTCCCAGGGAGGGAGTTGCCCCCATCTGATCCTGACCCTGGGGCACAGCCCTGGGACCTACTCAGTGGGAAGGCAGCAGAGGGCACGAAGCAGAGGCCTGACACATGCCTGCACGGCCGGCCGGCTCCCCTTCCTGTGCTGGACAGCAGGGCGACAGCAATGCCCACAAACTCTCCTCCCAAGGCCAAGGGCATTAAAGCTGCCATGGAGCAGACCACAACCTAAAGGGCAGCTGGGAGCCATGTCCAGCTGTGCCAGCCAGCCAGTGGAGCCCAGGCTAGGGAGAGGGAATCCGGGATCCCTACTATAAGCCCCGGGGAGTCCAGGGGCCTGATCGCCTGCTGTTATTAGGCAACAGGTAACCAAATGTGTCAGTTAATTCAATTCGAATGATAATGGAAGATGACATCTCGTTCTGTTTCCTCTCAATTATATGCACAAAAACTCAATGCAAAATAATTTAATAGATCAAAGATTTGATGGTATACAAGTTTTGAGAAAAAATAAAAAACAATGTGGCAATGTAATTATTTTATATAATATGATGTATTTGCTGTAAGTTAAAAATATTTTAGGCATCGATACCTATCAAATTCCACTTATCTGTCAGTTTTAATGTTGCAGCGTTAAGAGCTTTTGGATCAGGAGAGAGCTGAATCTAAGAACGGGATCTCTAACTTATTTGTTGGCATCCTTTGGCATATTATAGAACTCCTTTAAGTTTCTTCTAAGAAATTTGAATTTCCTCACCTACATAACTGGAGATAGTAATAGTACTTACACCTTACTGAGTTACTGTAAAAGTTAGAAAATATACCTTGATATATTTCCCGACGGGACATACTTAGTCCCGAGTGAGTCACAGGTAGGTGCTCAACAAGCACTTTCAAATATTATTATATAACCATCATTCTATGCCTTCTCTCTTCTCTTGGGAAAAAAATTCAAACCCAAAAATATGAATAAGAAAAAACTCAACCACTGCAAATTAAAAAGGTTGTTCTTCTTTGACCATAATTGTAGCTCAAAAAGTCTCTCTCACAACACATTAGAAATAATGTGAAGGAACATCCATCCATCTCTACATATTCTGAACATTATCATGGTCAAGCAGTTGTTCATTAGACACAAACTGCTTTGGGCTCTCACAAGCACTGTGTAACTGAATTGATATACTGGCTTATCCAGAAGGCGTCATAAGAAATGGTTGTACCAAAGTCCCTCAGTGCATATATACGTGTGTGTATACTTATAATATCCTATTCAAAATACAATCCTACTGTAGAGTTTCACCCTTAATGCAATTGTGCAGCACAGGAGTTTCTCTTAGGTTTCTACAATATCAACCATATTCCTATTTTATGGGCAACAGGAGACATGCAAATACTGTTTTTCTCCTTTGTGTTGCATATTAAAAATTCAGGGCCCAACTTTTCAAGTACCTTTAACAATTGTATAGATTCTTTATTGTACTTTCCTTTGTCTTGATTTCTTCATTATATTTTATCCTGTACTTTTCATCTCTGGTAAACTCTCTCAAATTGGAGTAAGAGGGATAATAAGTCGAATATAAATGAAAACAAAAGGTAACACTACTTTATGATTTTAGGCTTTTACCTGAAAATTATGAATGTCCCTTTGAGTTTCTAAGTTTGGTTTTTATTTCCCCACTGTGTAACTTGGAAAACAAAAAGAGTCTATTTAATCCAATGCCCTGCATCAACAAATAAAGCACCCGCTTACACTTGTGCTACTAGCAAAGCCAGAGAAGACAATGCATAGCATCACGGCCCCGGCTCGACCTGACAGCGTGCCTGTCTGCAGAGAGCCTGCCCATCGTCACCTGAGGGGCTCCTTCATGGTTCCGCCATGCTCCTAAGCAACCACTCCACTGCCACCTCTTGCGCCTGCCAATACCGTGCTCTGCCCGAAATCGTCCTGCAGCGAACTTCTCTGAATTAGTGCCTCCTCTGGCAAGAGGTTCCCGAGGCCTTCCGCCTTCGTGTGCGCTGGGGTGGGGGTGGGAATCTGTGGGTCCAGAACCCTCTACTACGCAGTCCTGTTCTGTAATAACCAGGTAGTCTTACCCTGTGTACTATGAGCATCTGAAGACAGAGACTCTAATTCACTCATTTTTCGCATCAACAGTGCCGAACACAGTATGTATAGTAAATACTCACCAAATGTCCACTGAATTGAGTAGGTTCTTATTTGGAATGTATTAATTCAGTATAGGGTATGGCAAATGATTCCTAATATAAACTTCATGGAGTGACAAAACTATTTCCCTATAAAATTATTTTAGTCTGTTAAATTCTTCTAGGAAAGCAATTAATTCTTTATTAAAAGTTTTCTACTTAAACTTGTTCATTAAACCTGAACCTAAGGTGTATATTAAACAAAAACTACAAAATTTATAAGTTTTTGAATACCTGCTTTTCATATAATATAAATTAAGTGAATTTCAACACTTTTTTTAGTGTAGAACAACATGGAAGCTGTAAATATAGATTTAAAAACTAAAGTGAAACATTCGATGGGAGAAGGCCTGCATCAGCATACACCAAACATGTGCTCTTTTCAGCTACCAGTCCTTCTGTCAGAAACAGGAATTTTACAAAATTGATAGATTTGATAGTAAAATCGTTTAATCATTTAGTACTTACTCCATCAGCAAGGAATTTATATAGTCATTCCCATCCATATGTCCAAACTGAAAATCTCTAACCAACAACAACCAAAGGGGAAAAAAAGAGAGAAAATAGTATTTATTACAAAAAAAAAAGCACTGAACTTGGTGAACATGTAAACACTAAACATTTAACATACAAATCACATATAACAAACATACAAAAGAGTGCATATTCCAATGGGTTTTTGAGATACAAATACACATAAGTAAAGTTAAGCAAATTCTAAGATATTTCTACTTTGTTTCTATGTATTTAAAATGCAGGGCAATATAAGCTTTTCTAACTAAAACATGTTTAAGGAAGATAACACTCTAAATTGGGACTACTCAGAAGATGCTTGTTCTACATACAGGAGAAATACAAGTATGTATCACTGATATATCATTAGAAGATTCAATAAAAAGGGAATAATAATTAAATAATATAACAAATTTATATTGACACTTACGTCAGCAACAAACAGAATGGTTAAGCACACAGATAAAATATCACTTATTTTCGCGTTCCGTTATTCTGAGATCCTGTGACAAGCACCACTGCCAACCTGACTTGTGAATGCTCACATAACTTCATCTCAAACACGCAGGAGCATGTGTGCCTCTCTTCTTACCGCAAACTTCATCCCAAACCCCACTGAGAAGCAGGCAGGCGGGTATAATGCACACTTGATGGGACACGTCAACAAACTTCGAGTCCAGACAAGTGATACAGAAATGCAACATGCTGCAGTTCACTTCAGCTCCTGACTCATCTTGGAAAGTATGAAATGCTACTACTTTTGGTTTACTGTATTACAAAACACAGTTAAACAAAAACAAAGGAATTGTCCAGAGTGCTAGCACTTACCTGTGGAACTGATCTCTGTAATCTCTAGCGACTTCCTGAATAACTGACTTCAATCTGCAGAAGAAAAAAAACACATGAATACTGCATTTTTTCACTTGAAACATACATCATAATTACTCAATTATAATATCTGTTGTTTTCTCTAATGATGCAGGAAGACACTATATTCAGTTTATCTGAAGCTATGCAAAGTCTGAATTAGGTGATTTTTGAAGCTTAAAACTATTTCAAGGCACTATACCTGGTATGTTCAACCGATGTATTTTTCTCATCAATAATTGCAATAGCCACAAGCTTTCCTGAAATTAAGAATGACATATCTAAATTCAGTAACCCTCATTACACAAACTTGTCAATTATTACTGTAGCTGAGAATTGGGAATTAGTAAACATTGTTTCTCGAATTTAATTCCAACAACCTTACACACCATACTCAGGAGAGTAAATCAGTGAGTCAATTCCAAGCAGTAAGTTCCCTCCCAACTCCCATCCTCAAAAGGTAAACACTAGTGAATTTTTAACTATTTGTACACAAGAATTATATTTTTTCACACAACCCACAAAATGAATAAGGAGTTTGTCAAAAGCAAAAAGCATAAGAAAGAAGCTGATAAAAGACATTTACTATTAATTACTGTAGCTCTCAAACAGGGTACGTAAGGAGAGTGATTTTTACACTGCTATTCCCTTCAGTGCCATGAGTCACTACTTGCCAGTCCTTCACACCCAAAATAACACTGACTTGGAGTTACTTAACCCTGCCCAGAACATAAATCACATTCATCTCTGATGCCACCTAGGGGACAGCATGGCTCTCGGTGTAATGTTCTAGGCCTGGGAGAACAACAGTGGAGCTCTGTCACCTGTTAGCTGCGTGACTTAACCTTAGTAACTGTAACCTAACGTTAGCAACCAGCATCCATTTCAAAGTAATTGAGAGAGTTGAATGAGATTACATGCCCAGAAATTCGGGGACAGTTTCTGGCTCAGAGTAGGTACAGGAATGTAGAATTAGATAGACAGACGGTCTCTCAGTATCATCCCCACATCTTGATGGTCCTTCCCCAATTCCACGCTGTTCAAATGTGTCTTTCAATTCCACACAATCTGGACTCAATTTTTAACCCTCAGCTGAAAAGGTCAGTTCACAATGATTATTTCCTCTCCTGAAATATTATTTCAATTATTATTCAGTGCTTGGTTTTTGTTGTGCTGCTTTAATTCTCAGATGCTTCAAGACCTGTGTGTTTGTTTTTTTCTTTCTCAGAATGTCTACGCCACGCAGAGCTTCTTCGCACAGGCCAATGCAGGCCGCTCTCACAGGCGACTCTCGCAACCCTGAGCGCCACGGCCGACTCTTCCCGCTGCGCTCTGCTCTATCCCTACGTGCTCTCCAGCCAAGCTCTGCTCCCCAGAGGGACGTGCTTTGGTAATGCCAATGTAAACTCTCATAAGGGAGGACTGGCATGCAGGTCTAAAGGAGAAATGAAATTATGAAATAGAGCTTAAAATTCACTTGCTACAGAACCAGACTTAAGTGATCAATCAAGGAGAAATTCTGTCAAGTGACAGAGAGTTGTGTGCATGTTTGTACCAGTGTCTCCAAGTTCATACAAGAGGAAGCCGTCCATAGCCAGGTAATTCTGAAACCTCTCTCTGGTGATCCAAGATGACAGGTCGCCATCCTCGTATTCTTAAAAACAAAAGAAAGGTGATAATTGTAGTGTAAATATGTCTTCACAATGTTTACATGTTCTGTTCCAGCAATATGTACAAAATGCCAGGCTCATCATGTTAGCTTCATAAATTCCATCGATAGGTGAGTGTGTTCTAAACAAATACACGGGGCACCAGGACCTAGCGCACAGAGGCCTCTCCACTGTGAGCCAACCTCACAAGCCTGCCGGTGCCATTCTGAACTGAGGGACGAGGGGCTGGACAATGCCAAAGAACTATCGTTAATTTTCTTAGGTGCTACAACAGCATGTGGTTACTTCAAAAAAGTCCACCTTTTTAAGAGGTGGGTAATGAAGCACACAATAACGAAATGCCATCAGGTTTTGCTTTCAGTACTCAACACGGAGGAGAAACTGGTGAAGCAAACGTGGGTGTGAGCCTGGCCACGGTCTGACCTGAGTGAGGGGCAGGTGTGCAGGGGATTATTTCTCTAGCATTCTCTGTACTCTTAGGCATGTGTAACATAATAAAAATATTTTAAAAACAGACCGAATGTTTGCTTCAGGGAAGAGGCACTGAACAGCGGCTACTCCTGCCAGGGAGAGAGATGAAGGCAGGGAAGAAAACGTCAGCGTATAACCGTGTTTTATTTCTTCACATTATTGTGTGTCTCAAACGCACTTTTTAAAAAAATTAATTTTGGAATATTTTAAAGTAACACACAGAAACTGTGTTGGGTTCACCTCTAAAAAGGCAAGAGGCCTGACTGAGAAACCCCCATAGTTAGTTATAGTAACAGACCCAGCATATTCATCTGAAAGCATTTGGCCTGTGTGAAGCTGTGGAACTCACCATCGTACACGAAGTATGTCTCATCTTTGAAGACAAGCACGGCAGGCATCTCCTTCGGTGTCACGTACTGCAAAGACCCAACGTGTAAGCAATGCTACTGAAAGTTTTCCGACTGGTAGCTATGACTTTAAAATTATTAAAGGGTGCCGGAAAACAAAACAACTAACAATGAGACAACTGTTATAAACAATTAAAAAGAGAACGCTGAATCCCAAGTTCATCCAAGCACTGGGTTCGATCTCTCTTTAAAACACCCGTTGCACATAGTACCCCGCTCACTATGCAAACACCACGGAGTTTCCTCTTAGTTGACAACAGACTGAAGCTGTCGTGGGAAGTAAAGGACGAGGGCTCCATGAAGAGCTGAAGAGCAAGGCCTAAGATGTCAATCGGCATTGGAGGGCTCAAGGCCTCCCCCACCACCCCAGGGCTGTGTGTGAGGCCATTCCTTGGCCCGGGGAGTTGGCCACCTCCTCTGAAGATGGAAGATGCTGAGCCCCCACCTCACCAGGGAGTTCGGAGGTGGACCGGCTGACGATGTAAGAGCAGCCTGAAACTGTCATGTGCTTTTTAAATGGGAGCTTTTACTGGTAATCAACCTAAGAGATTCATTCAGAGGGTAGCTGCTTTTTATACCTGTGTTGTAATAATTTCAAAAGAGCAAAATTATAGAAGAGAAATCAATACTAGAGCAGAAGAGAGATCATTTGGGTATTACATGAGCGTGGGAATACTGAAAGCAACAGCAAACAAATAAATAAATCAGTAGCTAACAAAAAAATACAAATGAAAACAGCTGTCCTGCAAAGATTAAAAGGGGAGAGGGCCCATCTCAGGGAATAGTGAAGGATCCGGCCACATTATTACTGGAGAGTGGTACAGCGCCTCGAAAAGAGCTATTTTAAAGGCAGGGCAAAGCTCTCACGTAAGACTCCGCCTCCAAGCACGCCTCTCTCCATCTGCTCTTAGCAACTCACCCACAAGCCCTTCTGAACACTCAGCATCTCTTTCAAGGACCTCGGGGGTCCGGGGGGCACATGAAAACGTTGTTCAGTAGGTGAAACGAGCAGCCATCTATTTCCACGTACACCGAGTCTCCCTCCCCTCTTCTTTCCCTGTGGTCCTGTAAACTCACATCTTCTGTGACAGGCACCTGTCTACGTGACACTCTTCTCTATTCATCTTTAAATATCTGGAAGTCAGAAATGTCTTAATTCATCCTTATACCCCCTCATTACACTTATTGAGGTTTTCATAAATACTATTGTAAAGCTAAGGAAGCTTTGCATGACCACACATTAAAATTCAAAATATGGCAAGAACATAAAATCATGGGCTTTGTCCTTATTTGAGAATTCTTTATGGAAATAAAAATCCCCATATTATTCTGAAATGACTGTTCCTCTTTCTAGCAGTCTTTAGCAGCCACGTACTCAGAACTAAAAAAGAGATGACAAATACTGGTATTTGCAGGAATAGTTCAAGAAAGCCAGAAAATAACTGGCTGAGAAGGCTAGTGATAAAAATAAACTAATAACCAGGAAGTCAGCCGCGGCGCAGGAGCTGCCTGGGCCCACCCCCACGCTCTGTCCCCGGGTGGCGATCTGACGCGAGGACCGACGACCAACGGGGGTGTGTGGGGTGGCGCCGGCCGGGAAGGCAGCCTGCCTCCTGGCGCACCCCGCCTCCTGGCGCACCCCAGGGGAAGCTGCGTGGAAAGCTCTGCAGATGCAGGGCCTGTGTTAGGTTCTCCTTTCTAACTCTAAAGGGTGGTTGTCCACTGCACTTAGGAGACCAAAGTCTATGAAAAGCTCTAGTTCTAGTCTATTCTAGGCCTTCATATCACACTAAGACACCCTGAGATATTTCAAAATAGCCGTTCGGGGCCTTTTGAGGCATCTGTTTTAGAGTCTGACGGCCAGTGTGGCTGACCTCCCATCCTATCTTTTCTCCTCCACAAAAGCAAGCGCACACTCGCAAGGAATTCGGAAGCTGCCGACTAGCTTCCGAGGCCAAGCCAGGTAAACCCAAGTGAGCTTAAACTAACCAGAAGTGGTCGGAGCCTCCCAAGGAGCTCAAAATCACTCCCGAGTACACAGTTATAAGATAAACCTCGATATACATATTACAGGCAGCACTAAACCCATACTCTGGGTAACTCTGGAAACCTTCTTAAAACAAAATACTTAAATGTTAAAATATATTAAACCAAAAATAATCAAATGTGTATGACATCCTTAGTGAAAAAAACTGCTCAATGTTCTCAACTTATACTGATTACAAAGAAAAAGCTTCCTTGGTTATTTCACGTTTCCTTCAGCTACAGCCAAACCTCTCAGGTCCCTTTCTCAGTTAAACGTTACTGACAAGAAGTCTACCGTTGAGGCTTCAAGATCTTACCTGCAATCTCTCAAATGACACCAGTGGGACGCCTGTCCCCTGCTCGGAAACTGTTTCTCTGAAAACCACCCGCCTCCACGCGGACCGACGTGTTCCTTTCCTCGGCTCATCCAGATCACCCCGCCAGTGCCTGGTGCTCCGGCCGCGGCTACTCACTGGCAATTTCTGGTCACGGTCCTTTGCTGCCTTCGGATCCTGGGCCCCCTTACTGCTTACAACTTGGCATCCAATGCTTACGGAGTTTATTTACAGAGCCTTAACTCTAGGTTATACCCAACTGTGTATTTGGTGGTTGCACTTGGATGTCTAATGTGCCGAATCAAATTAGAATGAACAATTCAAAACTGTTGATCACACCCGCATCCCCCAACTTGTTCCTTCTGCAATAGCTTCAAGCTCAGAAAAACACCACCATCTACCCAGGTGTTCAAACCAAAAACGAGTCACCCTACAGTTCTCCCTCTTCCTCCAGATCAGCAAGCTCCGATACTTGTACTTCCACAGCACAATCCTTCCGCTCCTCCTCAATCCTCTCACTACCTTCCACGCCCGAAGCTCCTGCGTTACTCCAAGAGTTCAGCTGCTCTCGTGCTCCACCCTCATCCCTCTCCAATTCATCCTGCACTGTGCAGAGTCCTGTTCACAGAGCAAGCCCCAGGCCAAGTCCTACAGCAACGCCAGCCGGCCACGTGATTGGCCAAGCCCCCAGGCCCCCAGCTACCTGCTGTTTCCTTCCGCACTGCTATAGAACCACAGTGGCCGACTGCTCTGCTCCTTGAACGCGCCCCGCATGTTCTCGTCTTGGGTATCTGTTGTATCTATCTGCTCCCTGTCTCTAGTCTACACCGGCCACTGATCTCTGCATGGCTCCTTCCTATCACTGAAGTCCCAGTTCAAACATTTTATTCTCAGACAGACATTTCTTGATCAATGAATCTAGAGCAACTATCCACCTTGAAGTGCACCTACAATTACACTGCTCCTCTATTCTTTTATAGCAGTTATGATATCCTGTCTATACATTTGTTCCCCAAGGACCACCACCTCAGCCTGAAGGCCTAACCGAGGGCCTCGCCAGCAACACTTGACAGGAAGCCCGCTTCCTCCACCCTGGGGAGTGGGGGCTCCTCGCATCGGGGCCTGATGACCGGCCGTCACCAGTCGGGCTTGCATGGCCCAGGGCACACGATGAGAGGGTAAGTAGTCGTTTCTCTATAGACCGACATAAGCAAATCCATTACTTGAAAACCTATTAAGGGTATGAATATCGCCTCTCACTACTGCTATGATTTTAAAGAGGAAAACAGCACTAATGTAATAATAATAATCATAATCCCTAAATATGCTCAATCAGGTGATATTTGCTTATTAACAATGAGCAATCTGGTGTCAGTAGAACAGAGCGAACATGCTTACTTTTTCCACACATACTGCAGTTAATAAATCGTATAGATAAAATCAAGTAATAATTTAAAAATTAAAATTAAGTTATTAAAATCTAATTTTAAATATTACCTCAGGAACCACATCCTCAGAGGCAGAAAAGAAGTATGTATACACAATTAATTCTGAAGCAGCATCTATGTATTTCTCCTGTGAAAATACAAACAAAAAAAGGCGACTTTAAAATATTAAGATCGAAGTTAACTCCTCATTAAACGATCAGGGCAAAGGTGTGCCATTCACTCTGCAGCATCACCACAATCTGCTCCCTTAGGTCCTTTCATGTGAAAGGATGAAATATAAGCAAATGAAATAAACTGTGCGGCAAAAGGCCATTGTCACTAAGTGCGTTCATACTCCTCCAAATAAAGTGTATTAAATAACAGAAGTTCAATTTATATTGATCAATTTAATTTGATGATTATAGGAACAGACGCGTGTGTATTCACACAGACACATGCACATACAAAATATTTTAAGACAATGATCTTTTTGCCTTTAAAAGATTTATACTCAAAATGCACTTTGTAGTCTCAAAGGTTCAAAATGCTGAGACATTTAACCAGATCAGTAACAGAAGAAATACCCAGGCAGGCGACAGTTGCCGACTTTTTATTCGCTTTTGTTTCATGAAGGCAAACACTGTCGAGGATATATAAGAAAGTATTTTTACTATAAAAACACTTAGATTGAACTAAAGTATTTTCAACAAGGGTGAAGTAAGATTGAGTTTTTGGTGAAGTTTTGACTATACAGAACATTAAATGATAATACATCTGTCTTTTTGGGTTAAAATACTTAAAATCATTTGATACCTTCAAGGGTGACTCTCCACCAATATAAAGGAAAAACACACGATGTCTTCTCCGCACATGCTCAAACATTTGCTGGCTTGGAAGTGGCCGAACTAGAGCCCTGTTTGAAAAAAAGCACAAACAAAAGATCGACTTGCATTCGAACCAAAGACGGAACAAATCCACTCTGTTTATGCGATGGCCTATTCTGTCTAAAGCGACGACGAAGTTTAAATGCCGTATTGCCCGCCTGGAGGGGCACCCCCCCGTCCACTTGAATAAAACCGCACCCCGTGAGCGCCGTCCCGCCACACACAGCCCCCCATCTAACCCGTCAGTCCAACGGTCAGGCGGAGAGGGCATCCCTTTAGAGGGTGTCGGCTTAGCCAGTGTTTTGAGAGGCAAGAACATTTATTTAGGCTCCTCAGCAGAAACAAACAATCCACATGAGCATTGTTTGGTTCCCCTCCCGCCCCCGCAAAAGATCACTCACACACACACTGCGAAATGCTATCCCAGAAGTTTATGATACTACATTAAGGATATGTACACCTTATGCTTTCCATTTAAATGCTATTTAGTTTTAAAATATTTTATTGAGGTTAAAATCTAAAATTTTTCAGAAGTTTTATTATTCTTTTCAGGAAAAATAAAATGAAAAATGGTAGTCAGGATAGTACTTAATAAACTCATGAAGAGAATACAAAATGGTACAAAGACTTTACTATATAATCATATTTCAAAGCCACCAAGACTGAGGAATAAATTACATCAAAGGTTATTACAAGATATACCACTTAGAAAATATTATTAACAAATTAAACGAAGAGGCAGTCTTCTTTTAAATGTGACCTACATTATCAGATTTTTGACTCCACCAAATTTGCAAAAAGAAGGAAACACATTTTGCAAAGGCAAACATATCTCAGAAGACACAATGCTTTAGCTACATTGCATCACTCTACTTAGCTCCTGTTTCACGTTAGTGGTTAGCTGGTAAGTGATGCAACTCCAGAGCTGACTCCTGAAATTTTACCTGTGGTAGGGTCGCCTCTGGTTACATCAGGAGAAGCCTTTCTTAAGCTTAAATTAAAGCTCATTAAAAATGGCCCAAAATATAGAGACTAATCTAAATCATAGGGGAATAAAGTATAACCTACTAGAAATCCCCTCATATAATATAAAGTTATCTAAAAATTTATTTGCAAAGCAAATAGACACAATGAAATATGCCATCAATGGAAAATTACAGGAGCTTTGGAAACTTCGATACACAAGCATCATTCCTAATTCTGTCCCTTTTCCTCGAATAAATTAACCCGGATAGTATCGTGCCACCGGACAAATCCATCCCAATATTTCAATTCACCCTTATGCTATTTAAAGCCATCAATATATCCTGTGAAGCTCATAAGGAAGCGCCTGTACTTTCAAAGCCAATCTAGGTTAAGCTACTTTGATTTCTGTTCTCTTCAAATAGTTGCACATAATCACTTTAATAATTATGAACACCAACTTTCTTTATACCCCAGCGAGATGTAGATTAAACAACAAAATCCCTGTATTCAAACCAACAGGAAACGCTTATGGAAGCATATGGGTTCCAATAGGCAAAATGTACGACGACACCTCACAGTCGGCATAAAGCAGTGGGTGAGAGGGCAGCGTATTTTAGCTATGTCGAAAAAACATCTTCCATTATCACAGGACAGGGATTAAAAGCCCAAGTCTATTCAGAACACTAATATTGAGGGATTTCTCTTAAAATCCTAAAATTAGGTAACAACAAAAATAAACTGATGTAAACCAAGTAGTACAGAAGCAAAATTGTAACAAAATAAAAAGATTCACAAAGTTGTTAGAAGTAATCAAATTTTGAAATTTTATTAAAATTTGAGGAAAGTCTTCCATGCAGTACATAAATTTAAATGTGAGGATAACAAGTCTGTAATACAAATCACAGACCCCCCGCCCCCACCCCTTTCAAAGGATTTCTTTGCATATGCTACACAACACTATCTTCTCTCATCAATACAGAAACAAATTTTATTCAGATTAAGTCCTTTAATAATGATCTACAAACACACATTTAATTTTCAATATTGTCATACAAGGGCCTGTCCAAGTAAAAACTTACCCAGATACTCTGTGAGCAAACTCAATAATGTCATCTTTAGTTCGTGGTCCTCTATAATTATATGCCAAGTCCCCCTTTAATCTTAAAAGAAAGAACAAAGAAAAAAAGCGTGGATTATTTCAACTGTTTCACTATTTAATGCACATCACTATTGTTAGACAAAATCATAGTATATAAAATAGTAAATGCAGAGATTTAGAGGAAATAGTATAGCCACATAACAGAGCAGACAGTTGGCTTCAGGGGATCAGCAACTCAAAATATAAAGAAAAAGACTGTTTCTTATTAAAATTACATGAAAATAATTTGCAGGGTATTTGGTAGCTGCATATGACTTCTTAATAATGAATAATCTACACATTTGTGGTCAAGAACTTGTCAAAACATAATTTTTACTCTTTTCTCTTTTAAAAGGCAAGCAAAAGGTCTGGGAATTAAAACTATTTGATAGCAGCAAAACAAATTTTCAAGCACTACATCATAGTAACTCAACAGATGCTCCAAGATTACAGAGTAAAATAATGCATAAAAACACCTCTTCTACAAAATTAGATAATATTCTAAAAGCCTGCCAATGAATGTGTCCGAGATTTAAAAAAAAAAAAAAATGTGGAAGCACAACAAAGCATCTATAATTAAATAAAGAACAGAAAGGATGGTTTACTCAACATAAGAAAGTAAAGGAGGTTCACGAAACATTTAAAAAGTGGGGGAAAGTGGGAGATCAACACAAAACCCAAGAAATAAAAAATCACTTTATTATAAAGATAAGTTTCAAAATAATTTACTTCCCTACATTATTAAAATAAGGATATGGATGAATTCCCTAGAAAATTCAGTAAAATGATGATTATAAAATGAGCCCTTTCAAATCATCACACCATTTCTTCCAAATTATACACTTGATGTCAGACTTGATTGACACCTACAGATAGGAATTAACATCCATAAATTGGATTCTGTTCCTTTCATCTCTGAAGAAATATCTATTATAATTATAGAAAAGCCCACGTGTTAGGACACAGGATTCCCACGATCAGGAGGACACACACGCCCTTGACCTCCCCGGGGTGACAGACCCCCGTGAAGACGACTGTGCACACGGCACGCCGCACAGCGCCTGCGGCGGCCGCCCACGCGGTGGATTCGCCAGCGAGAACACGTCCGCTTCCACACGAAAGGCATCAGGGTGCAGCCCCTCCCCGATCACACACTGCGCCTAGAAAGAAGTACTGAACCAACCTTCAGTCCTCCAAGGAAGCTCCTGGGACTTTGTGCAGTGAAACGTCAGGAGAGTGAACTAGTAAAAATACACATATAAACATACAACACTCAACTTACAGCTTAATTGTTGGATAACCTCGAACTCCAAACTCTGAAGCAATGCCTTGATAAGAAAAAGAATAAATAATTCTAAATTTTTTTTAAAATGAGGAACTAGGTAATAAATGAACCTTTTTACTTAAAAATGCATAGATATATTTATAGAAACTTATATAGATATACTGTTTTTAAGTCTAAAAAGAATAAACACACACAAAAATAACATTCTCATATAAAATAATTACTTAATATATATAATGTATAGCCTGCACAAAATAAGAAATAAATGCCAAAAGAATTGTTAAAATTTTGTCTCTAAAGTACTTATTTTAAAAGATAATTTTGTTTTAAAAATGTGTATATATAAACACAGGCATAAATAAAGTCTCACTTCTCACTGACTTGGCTTTCAGTGCAAACATTTCTTTAAAAAAAAAAATAGTGGCAGGGGGCCCCACCCTTCCTTTAACATTTTCTGAGTCTTAAGAGAACTGCATTGTATTTTAATTTTGAAAACCTAAGTCATATCTGTAAAATTACTAAATTTCTGTAGTCAATATATGATCTAAAAGCAACTGTATCTACTGGTTTTCTAAGTTTCTGCTTTTGTAATAACCTAGAATAATTCCAACTGACACAAAGATTATTCTGAAGTCTTCATCTTAAAATGAGATAGTTGCTACAGAAGTATCTTTTTAAGGAAAAGAAAAAATAGTAACAAAAACAAGCAAACAATCAGGAATTTAAGAATTATAGAAATCTCAACAGCAAATTAATGCTATATTACTTTACAGATTCAAGGCAAGTAGGGCAGTCAGGAAAAAAATAAAATACTCTCACTTTCTGGACTGTATGCAATGTATTCACACAACTATGCCAGTACACGTAAGCTGCACTGTATTCACTGACATGATCATTCTATTTGTTAATTGTTTTAGTTCCATGGTATTTTCTTAGCACGGCACTGGTATTTCAAGGAAACCACTTCTCCATGTGGGTTCTGGTTTACCAATCCCTTTAGTAATTTTAAGCTTTGGTTTCAAATCAATCCCACCAATACAGAAGAGTAATGACAAAGCAAATTTGTGGCAAAATAACATCCAAAATCTCTTTGCCTTCCTTTGTCAACCCCAGAGCTTCTCTTGCACATGGGAGAGGGGACAGGCAAGCAGTTTATGAGGCGCCACGGACAGCCGGGCGAGACGAAAGGACGAACCAGGCCCCGAGGACACAGGTCCTGCCTCTCCACCAGCAGTAAGCCTAGACCAGCTGCATCACTTACTGGTGTCCATCTCTAACTCAGGAGTGACTTCTGTCCATCTGTCAAGCATGTTCTAATTGAAGACTGTTGTTAGGGACATTGCCTTCTTCCAGGTAACAACACAGAAATGATCTGGGGGAAACTGCGGGTAGAGTAGGTTCTTAATGCTTCCCATCCCCAGCTAAGGAGGCAGGGAAATACGAGCCCTCATTACCTTCATCAAAACTCATTAAAAACTGCCAAAGGTGAAGACCAATGTAATTGACGACAGGAGGGCACAGCCCACTAGCAACTCCTCATATAATTTGGCGTAAAATTTATTTATACACAAATCAAATTAGAAAGTGCAATATGCAATCAATGAGAAAACACAGCAGTGGTGTTTTACAGCTTGATGTCGCTTCTCAGAATCAGCTTCGGAGACACTGAACCCAGCACTTCATTTCCGCGAGCTCAGGCGCCGCTGTCCGAGGACGGTGACAGGTGATGCCACCCGCTCGGCAGTCCCCAGCTCCGTGGACATTGATCTTCATTCCTGATAGACTTCCCGTTGCAGCGACCCCTGAAACTGCACACTTAGGTTTCCTGACAGGAAAATGGCCGCGCAACCGAAAAAGCACGCAAGCAAAGCAGGAGTTACAGACCCAGAGGGACCCAGGTTAGGGTTCCGGCTTCTTCTTGGCCCACATCTCTGAAGCTCTGCGGAAGTTCCTTGCTTCTCCTACTGCTTCACAAGGCAGCCCTCATCACATGGGGCTGTGGGTGGGACTTTACCATGAACGCCTCTAAAAAGAACCTTCCAGGGAAGCTGGCCCACCAAGATCCTCAGACGCCAGCTCGTTTCCTTTCAGTTCTTGATCCTGACTTCACGGCTAAGTAATTATCTCCGGCTAATTCTACTAAGCACATGTAGAATATCTTATAACTGGCTTTAACAGACCTTCAACTAGATGTCAAAACAATCTTGTAGAGGAAGAAAAAAATGTTATTTTTCAAATAATAATACTAATACTTAGGAAGATTTGGTAACCTTCTTAAGAGCAAGTACTGAATAGGTAGCAGGGCTGAGACTGAAACTCAAGTCTGAATTTACATTTTTTGGTCTTTGTGTTTCCATTATTAGAGAATTAGAGAGTTTGCATAGAAACCTAAGACCAACTCCTTTACAAATTGAAGAATCCATCTGTAACATGAATAACTTCCCCTGAAGTTTTGTCATTTAAAATGTTTATAAATGGAGGTGAAACATACCCCTATTTCACTGTTTCCTCTTTGAAATAACAACAACTTGAAAGGGACAGAGTCTTCGACCTGGGTCATGGTGATCTTGGATTCTGGGCCTAATTCTGCCTGTAACTTTGGTGTTTGAAATTACTCAGTCATTTTATTGCAGATGGCCTTCTGTTGATTCATCGATACAATGGGAGGGAGGAGAAGTAAGGAGCTGAACTCAATTCCAAGTCCTCTTCAGCTCAAATAGACTAATCTTCATACTTGGTGTCACTAGAGGTCTGATATGAAAGGGACTAAGATACAGTACTTGCTCTCCCGAGGGGGCAGAGGGAGATTCTGTCCTCCGGGAGCCACAGGGCAACGTCTGGAGACGCATTTGGTTGCCACAACTTGGGGGAGGGACAGCACTAGTGGCGTCTGGTGGGTTAACACCGGGGACACTGCTAAACGTCCTACAATGCACAGTGACGCCTTCTCCCCTCAAAGGAAAAACCATCTGGTCCCAAATATCCACAGTGCCAAGAGCGAGCGACCCTGAAGTAGTCGCTGACCGAAGGGCTGATAATCTGTGAACAACAAATCAGGACAAAAATGTTATTGGTCCAATGCCACTGCAAGTTTATACACCAAAGAGGGGTAAAACATGATCGTAACCATAAAACTATGTCACACTTAGGCTGAGGAATGAACAGAATTTCAGTGGTTTCATAATAAAAACCAATACATCATTACAGCTAACATCGTAACTACTTTAAATTCCGAACAAGGCACCATCTCAGCTCTCATTTGTGAAGGGACATGTGCAAACAGAGGAGCTAAAACACATACCTGAATTCACACTGGCCATCAGACAACTCCGTGATGTTCTTTGCTTACAGTATTAGTATTTAAAACCTGGCACCCAGACGTGTTTGGCACAACCGCAAACACATGGCAGAGAGAATCGTGGTGGCTCAGCTCCCCTGGCTCGAGACCCAGACAGAGGCCCAGCGCCGGACGGCGGCAAGGCGACCCTCCAGACACTCCGAGAGGTTTCCTAAACTCAGTCACCGAACCACCTGATCCCACCCCAAGCCAAAGTCCTGTACGTAACTATTCATCGAAATAATACTTTACTTTGTGATTCTCCCTCTTACGTGTGCAGCAGAATCACCTGCAGTCCAAGTAAAAAGACAGATTCTTGGAACTCAGCCTCGGAGGTGTCTGGCTGCGAGGGCTGGTCTGGGCCTTTGGGGGCCGAATCTCTGGGAGCGCCCCAAGTGACCCGAACGCAGGCAGCACGCGGGCAGCGCCTGGAGAGACGCCGATCCTGAGCTTGCCCAAGAAGCAACCCATGGGGCGGGGGTAGAGATCATGGACAGCCGGTCCTTTCGGGTCCCAGCGTTAGACATAGAACGTGCTGGCAGCTGGCTTGAAAAGAACAATTCAATTTCTTTACCTCAGTGACTCCAAGTTTTACTAAAATGCCTGTACTGGAGCTGCCTTCATGTATTTCAGGAGATTTTAAATATCATACGCCAAAAATCTATTTGTAATGTCCAGACAATAATTCTTGAATACTTCAACATTTTTTAGGTCCTACGATAAATTTCTTTTTCTCCACAGGACATAAACAACTCCTTGTTGCTGTAATAAAATGAAAAATGCATCCATCACTGACATCTAACACTAAATAATACCAGACAATTCACTTAAGTTTATTGGCCGTTATCTCTCTCTCTCCGCCAGCATATGAATTCCATGACGAGAGACTTCTGTCTGTTTTGCTCACGAACGCATCACCGATGCCTAGACCGTGCCTGGCCTATCCTGGAATATGGTAAGCACCCATTAAATACCGGCAGAATGAATGCCTGCTCCACAATGTTTCGACAAAAGACTCTTCCCAATAAGCTCTGTTTGTGTGATTCAAGCAGTCCCAGGATTGGCAAGCAAGCCTCGCCACGCAGGCCGGGCCGTCAGCTGCGAGGGGGGCGGAGGTTTGGTATTCCACGTCCATGCAGGAGAGGGAGTGGACAACTCCAGGCGCAGGGCAGTCCTCAGCACTCCCCAGCTCCCCGGTCTTTTCCTAAAGCTGGACATTTGCTTCAGGTAATGTGTTTGTTTTGTACAGGCAACTGCTATAGAAGTTATTTTCTCCCCTTAATTCAACATAACATACAACACAATGCTGAGTGTATAAGAATAAATACTGTAACAATTATAACATCAGAGGCAAAATGTAAACCTCTTAATGGCTTATGAATAGGAAATGAAAAAATGTCCCATTATCAGGTAAAGCTACAAACTGTATACAAACTTCTAAGACCCGTATTATTTTTTTAGTCATAGCATTTAAAATACTTTCTTCTCTATGCTACTCAGGAAAAAAAGTCTTTGCTATTTTTCTCCAACTGTAGTGCCACTTAATAGTGGCACACAGAGGCACTTAATAAATACTGAATAATAAGCTAATGAATTAGATAGTACAATTTTTTTGACATATGTGCACTGTTAATTTTCAATGTAGCATCACATGAGTAGCTCACCATTAAGATTTTTACTGATCTATAGGTAATATATTTCTTATTACCTTGATACTCCCATATTCCCTTACACATTACTTTATTACTCCACTAAATGATTCAAGTGATCACAAAAATGTGCCATGATTAAGATTTTATTGCACTTGTTGGTTTGCTTATTTTTCACCCTCTAATAAGACCATGAGGACTCGTTTTGGTTCCTGTTTGATTTCTACAGAGTAGAACAAGGCCTGACAAACAGGAGTAACTCAGTGCTGGCTAACTGAATGAATGGCTATAGGAATGAATAGATGTATAAGCATGTGCAACCAACATAAATGTGTAGACACAGTAATTAACTTTCGGGAGCAGCCGTTAAGAGGAGTAATTTCTTAAACTTTGCTTAAAGCTTATTTCAAGAAATACCAACTCAAGCACATTGTTCTGTCTCTCCACAGTAACTCCCTGCCATTGATCTCTTCTCCTCTCCAAGTTTCAACAACTCGTTTATGAGACTCAGTAATTCCAGCTCTAACACATCAATAAAGCAAAGTATGTACCACAAATTCAAAACAGCTGCTAACATGAAAATCAGACAAAATTAAATTTAGTACTCTTTCCTCCATAACCAGTGGTGGCATAGATCACTAACTATGCTAAGAATCTTACACTATTACTTTCAATTGTTCTTCTTTGTATCACAGAGCTAATCTATCACACCTGTGATTTCGCCCTTGAAAAATTCTCTGCTAATTACTCTCTTCCTCTTTACTCCTCTGCCAGCCATGGAAGTCTGGGCTCCTGGCATACTCCACCCAGATGCACCCAAAGTGGATGGATTCTCTTGTCTCTACTCTTCTTTCCATCCTACGTGGGACAGGTCATTGGCCTTCTCAAAAATGTGCAGTGCCTCTTAACGGACAACCAATAAAATCCAAAACCCTTTGTCCCATCTGAGGGGCCCTTAAAGTCTGCCCTTACCCCTTAGCACCTTACAGTACACCGGCCATTGTGGCACAGGTTCTAAATATGAAATATCAGCACAATCCTCCCAACTGAGAGGATCATCACTCTTCCATTTACAGGCAAGAAACTAAAATTAAGAGATTAAGCACTTCCCTGAAACCACAAAAATAGCACATGGCAGAGATGGCATTAAAACATAGGTCTGTCTTGTTCCGAAACTATATCCACAGTACAATGCTGATTTTCTAAAATGAAATATACATTACATACTTCCACTCCTTCATTGATTAAAGGAAAAGGAAACACACATTTATTGAACACTACACAGGGCTTCACATATGCTACCTCACTGAAATCTCAAAGTAACCAATGAAAGAGGCCTCACAGTAGTGCAAGTCCCCCAGCGTGGACACGGAAGCTGGACGCGCCGCGGAACTTCCCTGCTGCTGCACGGCCCCCGCAGCAGGCAGAGCCGGGGCCAGTGCCGGCTGCCTTCTGAGGCCGCGCTCGCTCCAGGTCTCTATGACGCCTTCTCTCTCTCCACACTTGGTTCTGTCTTTTTCCAAATGTTTAAGACCGGCACTGGTAAGCTTTTTTGGTAGAGGGCCATCAGCGTCCCAGGCTTTGTGGGGATGCAGTCTCTGTTACCACTGCTCCCGCTGCCACTGGAACATGAAGACAGCCACAGGTGACAGTGAGCAATCCGGCGTGGCCCCGTTCCACGAGGCTCGACTTAGGAGGCCGGGTGGCGGCCAGGCCTTGTCCACGGGCTGGCCTCAGCCAGCCTCTTCTGTAAGACAGCCTCTTCTCTGGAACGTGCTTCACAAGCTCAAGTCCAACTCTGTGACCGCGCCCGAACACTCCCCGCAACGGGAATACCGTCCTGGCCTCGCCTGCAGGTCCCCTACCTGACCGCACCCTTCGCGCCCGCTCCCCGCTTCCGCGCCACCTCAGGCGACCCAAACGACAGGCTCCAGTTCTTCAGCCCCACAGCAATGTCAACAGTTTCGTGCTCGAATCTCTCTAGTCGCCCCAGGTCACTCCTTGTCTCAGGTGGGCTCAAAACCGAAACAACGGCTGATACGTCTCTTGCAGGCTTATGGTCACCATGTCCTGCGTATTACACAGTCATTGGTCATTCCTTCAACTCATAATCACAGTCTTAAATTAAGACACCTTTAATTTTACAAGAGAAAAATATATATGTATTTCTTCCTCCTACCTTGAATACTGGTTTGCACAACTTAAACATCTGCATTACAACAGTTAAAAAAGGAACTGAGCCAATGCTTACTAGAATAGGAAGTAGCATCCATCTTCCCAACTTTAACTGGCGAGCCAATGCTCCTCATCTCACGGCCAACTTCATTCCAGATCGGTTCCAGCTTTTTACAATGACCGCACCACGGTGCATAAAACTTGTGAAAACAAAAACGGAAACAACCGCTAAAATGCTGTGCTGCTGTGAATGACAATCTTAATTTTTAAAGAATCTCTTTGACACAATGATCTGAGAATGTTTTAAACAACAACAAAAATCTAAATATAATTTTCAAATTGGTTATCAGACACACACATAGACCTATATAGGTTAACTCCTGGCATACACCACAACTTTGACACTACTTTAGGGTAATTTTAAATGACTGTTGATATGCATTTAAAATATATGATTTACCATAAAAGCGTCTTAGCTTCCAAGTGGTGTGTCCGTGTTATATATAAAATGAGACCACCAAACACAGTACACATGCCAGGTGCACACCCTATTTCTACCAATCTATTTTTACGGCAAAAATTCCAACAGAGCTGGCGCCTTTGCTACTTCAAGTGAGACCACTGGTGGGTTTGGGACACAAGTAAGAGGCCTGGCTCAGCAGAGGGGCAAGACAGCTGGTCAAGCTAAAACCGCAGGCCTTCCCTCTTCGCAGTCACCAGCCGGCAGGGCTGGGAACTGGTGTCAGGTTAAACGGTGTAGCAAACCGCTTGTACTTCCGCGAAGTAGGATCTTTCAACTTGTTAACACTGAATTATGGAAATGCTCAAACACACGACACAGAGATTACACAGCAGACCTCGTGCCCACCGCCTGGCCTCCCTCAGTGTCAACTGTATGCCGCCGTCTGGCTCTCTCTTCCGCTGCCACTCTACTTTGTGACTGAGGCGTATGAAAACACACCCCAAAGGCCGTACGGTTTACTATACTCCACACTTGAAAGTGAGGAAAGGAAGGTGAAAATCTGTTCACTATTAAGATGAAATAGGATGTTGATGCCAGGTGACTGATTATATACAGCATCTCTGGGATAACACGACAAAACCGAGAGTGAATTCTGTAATGAAATCATACAGAATCTCCCTCAGACCTAATCCACAAGTGGACCTCACCAGAACTTCACCAAAATCAGGCTCCTTTCCAGGAACATTAAGGCTCTGAGGTTCATTTTACTATAAAACCCAAACGGTACTACCTAAGAAAACAAACTGAGTAGTATAACTAAGTACTAAATGTATGTATTTGGGTGGAGGATAGAAAATAACACTTAAAATGGAACAGGTAGTTAATCAGTACAAAAAACAACATACTCACATCTACAAGCCAAATGTCATCTTTTCGATTGTCTTTAAACCTAAAAAACAAAAAACAAGAGAACAAATCTTTGCATGTTTCCACTCGACCGCTCAAGAGCAGTGATGGGGATTATCCAATCAACTGAGGAGCCCAGGAGCATGAACAAAGTCTCCCAATAAAGTTTTATGCACAAGTTTTACTCCTTGGCCTCCCTGCCTTATCCATCGAACACTCTAATAAAAGTAGAGAAGTGACAAAGCAACGCAGCGGCACCTGGTGGAAGCAAAGACCCAGGCCGCAGCACCGACCCCTCGCTGCATTTACGCTGGCGTCACTGTCGGCATGGCAGGCCCGGGCTGCCAGCTTCGGAAAGGTCCGCTCGCCTGGGGCCGCCCTTGGCTGGCATCTAGGAACTCGAATTTCAGCTCCTGATAAATGGTGACTCACTGGTCTTACACTAAGCGCACATGGTTGTGTAAGAACAGCTGCCTTCCTCCTGGCCCTTGGTGACCACCCCCAAACAGGAAAGGGGGCCAGGGACTGTGGGCCTATTCAGCTATTGATGCCGTCACATGACCCACATGGGGACCCTGACGGCACTCATCTGCATTTACAGGGGAGGCCACTGCTGCTGAGTGGGCCCCAGGCAGCAGGCCACCAGGATGCTCTGCTCCTGGATCCCATGGACCTACGCCCTCCATTTGAGCCGCTCAACCCTGCGACCTCTGAGTTCACTGCTGGGCCCGCAGCGGGAGGACAATGCCGCACGCAGGCCAGCACAGACCCCTGAGCTCCCCAAGGTGCTGAAAGGTACACACCTTTGGAGACACACTCACTGGCCTGTTGCCGGGCCCTGGTGGCGGACGGCAGCCGCAGGCTCATGAATTCCCATCGTGCCACTGAGCAGGGACAGCTCTGGAACCCACAGCGTGGTGGGAATGACACAGGAGCCCAGCAGGCGTCTCCCCACTCCACGACGGGCCTCGCCAGCACCCCTGTACCTCCGAGGAGCAACACCTGAGGGGCAGCCTCTGGCCCAGGGGGACCCAGACTCAGGGGCCTTTTGGACCTCCCCAGGCCTGGCTCAGTGGTGGCTCCTCCTGCTTAACTCAACTGGAATGGAACTGGGTGTGGCCACCACCCAACCTGAAAGAGCCCGCCCCTTCACTGAGCGTGGTGGAGGGCCTGCGCCCACGGCGTGCCGCCGCGTGGAGAGCTGTAAGATCATCTCACATCCCCATTTCCACTGCTTGCGGGGCTGTGGCTGATGGCTGATGGTTGGGCCATTTGGGGCTGTAAGTGAACAGGACCCCCTGCGAAGATAAGGCACTTGCATGAAGACAGTTTCTGCCCCTAACAAGAGCTTCCGCACCAACGTGGACACTCCCCAGAAAGGCCCCTGCGCTGACAAAGGGAAACGCAGCCAAGGAGCGCACCGGGCTTGTCAGCTCCACTCGGAAATGACTCGTCCTTCACCCCAGAGCGAGCAGGGGCACAAGCGACAGCCTGCTGGGTGCACGCGAGGATGGAGAGGCGGACGCCGTCCTGGGCTGGGCTGGCGTGCACGACAGCCACTGCTGTGAGAAGACCCCAAACCAGCAGGAAAACGCTGTCCTGCCTGTCAGACCCTGAAGGTGGTAGGCCGGGGCCCTCACAGCAGGGAGGACATGCTGCGCCCCTCATGAGTCCACAGGGCCCCCGCCTGAGGAAGGCGAGAGTCCTGGGCGGCTGTGCCTGCTCCTGCCCCTCGCCCGGCAAAGCCACAGCTGACAGGCCGTTCTAAAGGAGGCGGCCTGCAGTGACGTGCAACCGGTGACCGCACTGCTCACTACGGCTCCCCCCAGAATCAAGGAGTTTCTGTAAACAATCGATGAGTGCATCCCAATACCCTCTGGCCTGGCTGGCAAAGTGCCCCTTGATACCTTGAGACCTTCTGCTTTTCCAGAACAGCACTGTGCCCAGCTGACCTGCCGCCATACCAATGTTGCTGTGCAGATGTGGTGCATTAGGACAAGGCAAGCTGACAGTAACCGCTCAGCCTTTACTCACAGCCACGATGCAAAGCACGAGGCAGAAACAAAACCGAACAAAAACAGGGCACCAGCTCCCCAGAGCTCCATTTCCCCAGGCACCAGGCAAGGGCCGGGGACCAGCGCTGAGGGACTCGTCTCACTGCCGAGGGGCAGTAGGCCAAGGGCTTCCTCCCCTGCCTCTTCTAGCCTCGTGGGAGGGACAGGAGTGGGAAGGCACTGAGTCCACGTGGCTGGCTGAGAGCGCCTCAGCCCCCCGCAGTGAGGAAGTCTCTGCAGAGGCCCTGAGGAAATGCCTGAGGCGCGGCCCCCCAGGAGGGCACGTGGGCCAGGCCTGCAGATGAGTATCTGAGCCCGGCCGGCCTAGGAGGCCCGAGTCTACCGTTACAGCACCCTCCAGAGGCCGCAGGGCACGGGCTGCGCCACTGCGGCAGGTGCAGGCGGGCGGCTTCCCCCTGGAGGCCTGCCAGGAAAAGCCCTGGAATGGCCTGAAAGATCGCACGCCGGCATTTGGTCTGGACAGGAACTCACCTACGACAAGCAAAGCCTTGTGATTAATGCTATGGTACCACCGAAAACAAAACGAAACGACACACATGTGGTCCCATATTCCAGCACTGCTTACCGGTTAAAGTAGAAAAACATAACCAGTACAGGTAAAATGACAAAACAGAACATGCATGAGTTTGCCCCAGGGTTTTTTTTGTTTGTTTTGGATCTTGTAACAGTGTAACTCTTTTGAGCACAACCCCACTTTGTACACATAGAGCGCTGACAAGGACCCCTAGACCAAATTAGTTCTATATAAACCCTGGTCGTTACTGTCTCTATTATTAAAAGATTAAATTCATACAAATACTCAGCATTAGAAGATACTATTAAAAAATATGCATACTCACGATTCATCTAAATCTTCTACAAATCCTTTACAGAAAGCCATACCAAGCAAAAAAACTGAAAGAAAAAGACAGAACATACGATAAATGCTGATTTATCATTTGACTTGTACTATTGCTCAGTCACACAGTGTTTTTGATCTTCTGCAGCCTACCAAGAAATTCATCACTGAGCCATCCCAGGGCAAAAGTGATGCAGAGCATAAACAGTTCATTTGGTTAATCAATATTTACTCTGCATGCAACCATACTATTACAGGCAAGATAACGCTAATGAATCACAGGGGTTCTTTTTAAAAACACTTTTACTTTCATCCTATTTTCCCTTTTGACCATTTCATCTTTGGGGACAGAGCTAGAAATCATCCTGTTTCCTCAATACCAATGATCTCCTCGGTATAAACTCCAAATGCCATTCCAAATATTATTAGTTTTCATTCCAAATTTATAGGTAGAAAGAACGCTGAGGTGCACCGCTAACATGTATTCGGGTACAGTGTCTGGCACGTCGTGGGAACTGAGTAAACGCAGCCCAGAGAGATCCAGGGGCGCCAGGGCTGAGAACAGGTCCACGCTGTCCCGGTGACCTGAGCCTGTCCTGCCTTGTCCTGGGCTACCCCTCTCTGCGCCCCCTTCTTCGGAAAGGACAGGACCCGGAACCTAAAGCCAAAGCACCGGGTGGCTATGAGCTGGGAAGATCGCATCCTTCACGCCTATCAGTGCAGCCAGCGCGCCGGAAACTTCCTGCCACTGAGAATCAGAACTGAACGGAAGGCAGCCGCACCCTTCCCGCGCGTGGCACTGGTCTCGGGCAGCCCGCGTCGGGGCAGGAGCCACGATCGGGGGCGTTTCGGCGGATCCCGCGGCCAGCCCAGGCCCGAAGCCCACCTGCATTGCCCCCGCCAGGCCCATACCTGCGGCGCAGAGCGGCAAGGCGGCCCCACGTGTCCGAGCCGCCATAGTCGCCGCAGGATTGCTGCAAGCCGAGAGAAAGACACCAGCGGCCGCCACCCGCGCTCCCGGAAAAGGAACAGGGGTGCGGAAGAGACGCTCGGCGCCGAGGACGGGGGCGGGGCAGGCCAGCCGCCGGTGCGCTCCCAGGACCCCGCCGGCCTCCGCCTCTGAGCATGCGCGGAAGTAGGGCTCACGCACAGAACTGCAGCGCACGCGCAGTTGTCCTCAAAGCGTTTGCACTGTCGGGGCGTCGGGGAGCGTGGGAATGAAGCGTGAGGTCGCTGTCGAGTGCGGGCGGAACCGAGTGTGTGGCTTGGGGGCTGTTCCGGGAAGTTCACTTCCCGCTAGATTTGAAAAACGTTGTGGATTCCAACAACGCAGCTTCATGCTGGATTCGTCCGGGTCTTTCCCTCGCTGCTCACCGGTAGTGAGCGGTCAAATTCCTCAAGAGGTGGGGTGTCGCAGCGGTTAGAAAGGTTAGGTTGCTGCGTAACCCTCCATATACTAGCTCAACGGTGATTTTGGAATCTTTGAACCCGTTTGCAAAATGGGAGAGCTATCTTACAATAGAAGGCTGCATTAATACATTTTTTGCCAACTAAACGAGTCCCTGTTAAAATTATTTTTTGTCTTGAAAGCTGGAGAAACGACGTTGATCACTGGATATATTTTTTGATGACTTGTACCTCTATGTTTTTAGAGACAAGTAAAGCACTTATATAAAATATTAAAGGAGCTGTTTTTCTACACAACAAAAATGATTTATAAAAGCGATACAATTTTGTACCATGGTTACAGCCGCAGCCACTATGTCTAACGCAAATGAGATCAGTTACTGAATATGTGCTGTGAGAACAGAAATGGATTGTTACGTCAGCCGATTCACCTTAGGTTCAAAATTCCAACAGGCAGAAATCTCATAAACGCTATAAATGCTATTCCCAATGGCTAGAAGTTTAAATTATAATCTGATTGAGAGTCAGCCCTAGGTGTCCTCCCTTTCATGCATGCAGCGTGACATTCAATGTAGACCTTCAGAATCAAATATATTTTTAAGTGAGTTTATTCTAAGAACTTAATATGCATAAATATTTAATTCTCTTCAAAGTTCTCAAAGTAGGAAATATAGATGAGGATCCAGGGACCAGAAGGTGATTTGCTTAATAGCTAAAAAGGATGGAGTTACTATTGAAACAAAGTCTCAGTCTCCAGATCTGGTGTTTCCATCTGTTCTTCCTTCCATTCTTTATATTTTGAACATCACTTTTATTTGCGACTTAGGTGAAAGATTAAACACAGCCAGTCAGATTGTTCTCAAGCTAAGAACATGGCTTTTTCTTGAAAAATTAACAAGTATAAAAAACAAATAACTATAAAATCGTATGCTAAAACCAAGTAAAACACCAGGATAAACAGTACATCAAAAATAAATGAATTGCCTGAACCTTGCCCTTCCAAAAATAACAATTCAAGTCCCAAACCACCCTAATTCTTCCTCCCATCTCTGAATTTCCATAGCACACTTTGTGTAATTCATGGCACACCTCATCATCTTGTTTATGATGTTCCTTTTATATAGATAGGCATTGATTATATCTCAAGCTACGCAGTGAGTCCCTGGAGGAGAGAGACTTGACAGTATCTGCTACCACTATGTGACAGGCACCCATCATGGGCTGCTTGGCATTTATTTTTTGGCCAACATTTCTCTAATCCAGTTGGAGTGAAAAGGAAGATGTGTGCTGGATCTGGTATCTAGGAAAATAAGATACAAATTACAAAACAGAGTCAACATCTGCTAGGCTGTTGTCCAGACAAAAGTGCTAACATACCTTTGAATTGCTAATACTAAAATCCAAACTACAGTATCATTCTCAACAACACAATATTTAAATGAAAGAAAAACCCTAAATACAAACACTTTATTGCAAACAAAGGTTATATACCAATTGTTAACTACTACTCTATTTCATGTCATCAAATTTTGTAGATCGTAGATAACCCAAAACAACATGCTGAAGGTGTGTGATCACTCAAGCAGAAGCAATCCTGGCATTGCGTTCTTGCTCCTTGTGAAGACGACCCAGGAAAACCTGTGCTACCCCTCCCACTTTCTTTTGCGGCAAGCCTGAGTTCTGGCTAATCCACTGTAGAGAGTCCACAGGAGCCTTCCGAATTCTGCAGGTGAGCTGGAGCAGGCCAACAGTGTCAGCAAGTCTTTCAAATATGGCCAGGTGCTCAATAACATCCTCGAGATCCTGGGCCATTCATTTCAGCTGAGCATCTGTGTTTTCCACGACTTTGTAAGTCCTCTCATACTCCTCGTCTACATACCTCGGATTAACAGTCCCCCTCTGGTCCTTCACAGAGTCCTCGAAACGGATCGAGAGATCTTGCAGTTCCTTCTGCTGCAACAAGATGAGATCCAATTCCTCTTCCAGCCTTTTCTGATCCCACTTCATTTTCCCCACTTCTCCATGTGAAACAGTCACCTTCTCACCCTTCTCAGTCCGTGGATGGTCCCAGGCATGGACCTGGGTGGACTCGGGAAGGAAGTGCTTCTCTTGATCCTCTCACTCAAGGTTCCATATGTTTATCGGACTGTCCAGATGATGAGAGGTCATCACAGGAGTTATGACCAAATTAACTGTGGAAATAAAAGGTGTAGAAGCAAAATGGCCTGGAATAGTGTGATGAGTCCTGAGTGACATCAGTGGTTTTTGACCGAAGGTAAAGCCACTAGTGGTTGTGTTGGTGGTGGTGGTGGTAGTAGTTGCCGATGGTGACTATAAACACTGTTCCACCCACTCCAGGGACTTAATCCAAATCCCAAAGTTATACAACCAAGAGGTACCGCTGAAGTGATTGGGCTGCAAAATGTGAACCCGGTAGCAGCAGTGAAGGTGGAAACATCTGTTATTGCCGTGCACAGCGTGGTGCTGGAACAAGGGTCTGGGCAACAGTAGACACTGGCGTCCAACGTTGGTGGCCAGCACCGCTCACTGCTGATCTTACCGTAACACCACGCTGCCTCTCCGGGTTTCTTACTGCCCTAGAACTACCTCCCTCTTCCACTCTTTTTCAGCTGCCTCCTTTTGGCTAATGGTAGGAATGTTCGACCAGTCACTCTCCCTGGAAGTTGTGCAAAGTACTTTCCAGCTTAATATTTTCCATATCCAACTGGATGCCACATCTTGCTGCTTTTGTCACCTAAATATCTCTTGCGTCTCAATTATTTTGTCCATCTCTATTGTCCCCAGATCAGGTTCTCATCTTACTTGTTTGGATAATTGAAATAACCTCCTGATTGGGCTCCGAGCCTCTAATTTCACCTTCCTCCAAGCCATCCTGTGCATCAATTGCCAGACTGATGTTTCAGAAACACAAATCAAAACAGATTTCTTTAGGCATGAATACCGATCCCTGGAACAGAGAATGAAATCATAGATCTACAGGATGTGCAAGCACGTTTGCCATCCCCCTTTCTCCAACTGCTCCCCTCAGCTCTGCACATGAGAGGACGCCCTCTGCGGAACCCGCCCTGCCGTTTTCGTGCCCTGTACTTTTTATAAAATGTTCTTCATCCCGAATTAGATTGAATGTTATGAGGCTTTCCTTTTTAAAAAGCTGTTGTAGGTTCACAGCATAAGTGAGAGGAAGAAGATGAAACGTTATTTCATTCTCATCTAATTTCAGAATTTTCTGTCTTTCACAGCATGTAAAAGAAAACATTTGTTTTAACATTTGCATCACAACTTAAACTAGCATGTGGAGGACAATAAATACCACTATCGATACAGGATATGTGCTTCCCAGTAGTAGCGTCACTAAGCCGCTTGTGGCTATTTAGCTCTTGAAATGTGACTACAATGATGGAGTAACTGAGTATTGACTTTTAGTTCTTAGTTGTAATAAACAAATTTAAATCTGACACTTGGTTCAGTTATTGGAAAACTTTTAAGTATGGCTGGAAAATCTGGTTATGTTTTAATTTTAAAGATGGTCAATATTGTTAGATAACACCCACATTTAAAGAAAAATCTCTGGAGTTCTCTCTCTGTCTCTCTCTCTCTCTCTCTCTCTGAATGTACAGAGTTTCTGAGACCTCTGAAAAAAATTGTACATTTATGGACCTCTATGTTTAACAAGCAGGGAATACATATTCTAACTCACATGGGAAAGGTAAAAGAAAATCATATACCCAGTATATCATGTCTCAATAGATTGAAAAAAGTGTGGTATTATCAATATATTACCAGATCACAACACAGTTTGGTTATCTATACGAAAAGATAAAACTATGTCCAGATTGGGAACCTGAAAGATGCACTTATTGTTAATATCTTTGTAAAGAATAATAACTGAAACTAAAATATTCATCGAACTAAATAAGAATGAAAACGTGTCTATTAAAATTGCAGGATGCAGCAAAATCTGCATTAATTTATAGCATTAGAGTAATTTACAACATTCAGAGAAATTTATAGACATAAATGTTTTTTAAATATTACAACAAAAAAAGAATGTTAGTGATCTAAACTTTCTCCTGAAGAAGAGAAATAACAAGAGAAAAAAGGAAGGCAGGAAAGATAGACAGGCGCATTAATTTCATTGCGCTGGAGACTCTGCTATGCACTGAGTGAGAACAGAGCTGTGAACACAGTGGACACCGTGCAGTCCACTTCCTAGTGGGTAATCAAGAGTTTTCGCTTATACGGCACATGTATACTCAGGCAGCGCTCTAAATACTTTCCATGCATTACTCACCTAGAGGGAAAAGCAAGATACAATAGAGAGAGTCAAAGAAGTCCCAAAGTGTGTCTTTCCATCCAACCAATAACATGGACAAATTTTTGTTATAGTGAATTCAGAAGTAAAGTGAGGACATGTGAGAGAGGATGAAGAAGTGAGAAAACATCTAAAACATCCCAAAATCAGGACACCTTTTGAGAGGCTGCCTGATTCACCCTTCAGGCCCAGGAAGTGGAAGCCGGTTTCATGCTGGACCAGCTCAAGTCAGTCAGCTCCTGCGCCTACCCCATTTTCCTTCTCTGTGTACCAACCCCTGAAGAGTAAAGCTGGCTGAGCTAGCTGGGGAGGGCAGAAAGAGAGAAGGTAAACCAGGCCCCGCTGTCCGACTGCGAGTTCCCAGCCTAAAACAAA